CAACCCCTTTGGTAGGTAGAGCTCAGGAATTAAACAGCTCACTGCCAATAGGATTTCGATAGATTGCCAAGATCTTCGATGGATCACCAACCTCGGCGATCGATCGTGGATGACATGTCATGTTTATCTTGACAACTGGCAAACTTATATGCTTAGCTAGCGCTGACGTGGCACTGCGAACGATCACCAATGGCTTTGATTGATTGCCACTTTGGAGGAATGATGAGGTGGCAGTCTTTTCCATTTACTGACGTGGCTGTGATGGATCGTGAGTCCTTCAATCGATCGTTAATGAATCTTCGATCGATCGCCAATGCTCCAGGGCAAATTTTCTGACTTTTTCAAAATTTTCTTATTGACTCCAAAAAGGGCTAAATAGACTGTTTTTAGCCCATTTGAACCTTATTGACCTGAAATAGACAAAACACAAATTAGAACTAAAATAGGAAAGTAAGATAGATGATTGGACTAAAATACCCTACCTTAGTTGCTAAAATGTGCAATATTTGAGTACTTATCAGTCATTATAGTTTACCCTTGGTGGATGGCTAATATCAACGTTTAATTTTATATTAATATAATATATTACTGCAAAAATTATTAAATGGCCGGATGTCATTGACACTTGGTGGTACGAATATTTTCTCAATCAAAGAGTCTAAATTGAATTGGTTTACCAAGTGTCAATATATAAAGAAACATCTAATAATTTCTAGTTATTTTTTATTTTTTTGGGGAGTAAATTGGTGCATTTTAATTTAAAATACACAGAACCGTCTGCACTGGACTAATTTAAACTACACAGAACCGTCGGATGCAATGGACTAGATGTTGATGTCTTTCCTCCAATATCAAATTGTTTCTTCCCTACCACGGATTTTGGAGCTCTTTTATTCCTCAAATTTTGTTTATGTCTGGAAGGCATGTTTTGTTTAGTGATGCTCTATATGTCTTGGTCCTCTTAGACTCTTGGATATATGGATGTTAAGTGATCATCTATGGTTCATTGGTTATATAGTTTCCAAACTTAAACACATTAAGGATATAGTTTTGTAGTTTTTGCATCCTTAACTTACTGTTTGATTTCATCTTGTAATTCGTCTTTGAGAGGATATCTTGTGCTCTTTTCTTTCTCAAAAAGTTATCCACTTAGAGAAAGAAAAGGTCAGTCCACCATCCCCTTTACTATAGTATAAGTGCATCATCAGATTGCCCAATTTGTTTTTCTTTAAATGCTTTACCTTGAATTCCTCTCTCAAAATATTCTTAATAGTTTTCAATGCATAATGTAACACGAATATGATTCTAATGGAGAAAGATGTTGGCAAAGAACTTCTCTCACAGAAAGGTCCATGATTTTTTAACTGTTGAACTATTTGAAGCATCTGTCTTCCACTTATAGTATTAGCATCCATTGATTTCATTTATTCATCTTTCAGGGAATGAGGTTGTTGCAACCCCTTTCCTGGGAAAATCTTTTTCATTTATAAAGTTAAAGCTGTATTACACCCATTAGGCAAGTAATGTAATTGTAATTGCACCATGTTCACAGTACATATTATGAGCTTTGGTTTCTGTTAGTCTACTCCTTTTCTTCCCATGGTCATCATTAGCATTATGTCAATCATGTTTATCTTTATTCTATCATTACAATTGATTTTTTTTCCCTTTCACTAACTTTTCTACCTTTGGTTATAACCCGAATGGTGGTTTATGAGTAACTTAAGAGGAAGTAGCAGCAGCAACACCAACAGTTTGCCACCTCGGAAGCCATAACTTAATGGGGATGTTCTTGTGTAAAACCTTGTCCAATATCATTGTTGTATTAACTTTGTTGTAACATAGTGTAATTGGGATGTGGTTGGAGTAGAGAATTATATTAGGGCCATTCAAGTTGTCTGGTGTAAGAAGCTAAACTGTGTATGGAGAATCTTTTGATTATTTCTTGAATGTAACATGAATTTTCTTGGTAAATGTACTTTCCTCTTATGATATCTTAAGAACCATCAAATCAAGAGAGTGATGTACAATTATTTATTTAATTGTGGCCCACATGATTTGGACATGTGACATATTACTTGGTGGCTAAGTAAATAGATATCAATTAATATTATTTATTTTTGGTCAACTTATAATTACCTTTTTGGTAATTACTTATTGGAGAAGTATTTTCCTTTCTTATTCCTTACTTTGATAGAAAGTGGAATTATGTTACTAAAAGGAAAACTGGTCCTCTCTCTGCCCTTTATAAAAGTGCATATACTCCATCAATTATGTATAATTAATAATACGACACGTAAAATTTTTATGTGCGCAAAAGGCGAAGAGAGAGAAACCAGTTTCCACCTTTGCCTGTTGATTAGAGTTGCAGATTAGTTCGTGATTAAAGGATCTAGACATTGGATTTAATCTCAACAAGATTTGATATCATGAATCGAGGTATTTATATCTAACCATTTATTTATGCATTATAGATATGTGAAAATCATGAAGTTCTAAGATTCGGGATTCATGTAAATTTGTGATTAATGGCTTAACACGAATTATTAAAGTTTACAAGTTAGTGTTTAAAAATGGAATGAGTTTCTCGGTTATTTTTTCATTGTTGGCGTTGAATTTACTTTGTGTTATATTCAGTATGAATGAAAGAAGAGTGGAAGCAACAAATTTCCTTCATTCGACCTCCTTCACAAATTTTTATGCGTCCAAATATGAGCAAAAAATAAGAAAAAAAACAAGTGAGCCTATTATAGAAGTTTTAAATTACTTCATTACCCTTCATAAATATTTAATAAATCACATAAATAAAGTAAGGGATGGGTTTAATGGTAAAACAACTTAAAAATTTATCTTTCCTTTTATCCTATAAATCAAATTAAATTGTTACTTTTTTTCCTTCACTTCCATCTAACCGAACAAAAAGAGGAAAACACTTAATCTCTTCCTTAAGAATGTCTCATTCATCATTTTTTTTCTCTCTTCCATTCAATATTACGAATGCTAATTACCAGCATGACAATTATTTTTTTTCCTTTATAAGACTAATATTCAGTATTTATTAAAAATAAAACCCTATATTTGTATTCATGATCAGACAAACATATTGAAGGCACAAAATCTTTGTCCTATTACATTTCTTAAGGCTCCGTTCATTAGGAAGGAAGAAAATTGGATGGAAAGGACAGAGGAAGGGAGAGATATTAAACAAAAAAAATACAATCTTGCATTCCAAAGACCATTATCCCTGTAGAGTCATGTCAAACTAAAATTCTTATTTTCATCCATGTGCGTTGTAGTTAACTTCTTCTTCAACACATGATTTCTCATAGTTTGGAAATAAATTTATACAATCATTTATTTTTAAGCAGACAACTATCTCATTAAAAATAGATAAATTAAAGTGGTTACTCCAAATTTATTGAAACAAATACAACTGATGATTGTTAATTCACAATACTACAGGTGAGAAATCATTCGGCATTCCTTGCACAACCTCACCTAAGAAGCCATTGATACTCAGCAAAACACTAGATGCATAAATGTCTACAGTGAGCAATTGGTTAATCAAATATTTGTTTCCTATTAAAATTGCACCATTTGTAGTCACATAAACTGCCTTCAACCATTTAAAATGACAAACACTTGCCAAGATCAAAATTCCAAAAGACATAAAAAAAAAATTATCATTCTTATGAAAAAAAAAAAAACAGAGGAATAAATCAAGCGAAGTTAAAAACTCCAAAACAATAAGAGTTGGTTGAAGTTAAAGACTTCAAAATTATAATCATTCAAGGGTTGGTTGCATCATCCATCATCTTATACAACAAATCCTTGCGCCTCTCAGATGGCACGGCAAAGAATGCACTTTTGTGAGTCTAACTTTAAATAAGAATTACCAGTGCATCCAACTGAAGTTTCTCAGGTACCCCAATGTTCAACAATTCTGCAAACACTTCATCTTCTGAATAGTAACATGATCGAGCTCTCTCAGAAATAGCAATTCTTTTTTCTGCAATTGCAAGTCCTCTTTCCACAACAAGATTTTCCTTCTCGATTGTCTCCGCTACTTTGTTAATTTCACCTCTGATAACTTCACACTCTTTCTCAAATAAATTAATCATCAACTCTTTTCTTTGTGTGCCCCTTGAAGATGTAACCGATTCTTAATTTGGTTGAGAAGATGCATTCATGGGAGAATTTTTTTCATTGTTGTTCGAATTTTTATTAGCTTGTTTCAAACTTCTATCTCTTGCCCATTCTGAACTTTTTCTTTTGCACTTACAGCACCATCACCATTAGCTCTATCTTTTGCAAAAAGATCATACAATTTCTTATAAAATTTTATTTTAGTATGCCTCCATTTGGATGCTGATGGCTTTGCCTGCAAAATAATTGTAATAAATAAATAAATCATAACAACAATATATGTTCTATAAATAATTTCATACCTCTATAAGGTCCTTCCAAATTTCTGGTTCTGCCTCAAATAATTTTGTTTCTAGACTTCATGAAAATCCACTTAAATTTTTTAATAGATCATAACATGTATTGAAGTTAAGTTTTAAGGTTTTCACCCGGTTTTTTATGTGTTTCTTATCAAATGGATAACCAATTTTTTCAGTGTATTTTTTTACGACATTTGAATATGCTGTGGAGGTGAATGTTTCATCAACTCTATTACCATTTTTTTCTTGCTCCAACAATGCATCAATCAATACTTCATCCATTACTTCTATCCATCTTAGTGCATCCGTCTTATTTTTAGTTGCGTTCATATCTTTATTCATTTTCTTCATCATTTTCAAAGTCTGCATTTTTCAATGTCATATGAAAAATAAATATAAGAAACAATTAATCACATCAACAGATTAACATAAAAATTTCACCACATTAGAGAAGTCACACAGACTATAAAAATGTAGGAGGTTTTATTGCTCTACTAATACAACACCAATAGATATTAAAATAGTTACACAGGAAAAGAAAAAAAAAAAACTAAATTATTCTCCATCTCCTAAATAATCGTCCCACATGCTAGCTGCTATTGAATTCCTTATAGCTGCTCCTTCAATAGCATCTTCTTCATTATTACTTGTATCAAAGTCTTGTCCATTATCTAGATCAACATTAACGTGATCATGATCAACTTCTGCAATCAATCTTTCATCCAAATCAACACCCATTAGATAATTATGAAGTATATAACAAGCCAATACAATTTCTATCACGGTGTCAACTCTATAATGAGCTTCTGCCCCACTTGAAATAATTGGAAATCTCTTTTTTAGTACTCCAAATATTCTTTCAATTACATTTCGTAAAGAAGAATGTCGGTGGTTAAATAATTCTTCCATATTCTCTGGTGCACGTGATGAGTACTCTTTCAAGTGGTAGCGCACACCTCTATATGGTGTAATCAGCCCACTATTTAGCATGTAACCCCCATCCACTAGATAATATTTATCTAGCAAAGAGTAATAAAACAATCATTTTTTTGTTTAAAAATTAAAAACTATGTATTATTGTATTTGAATTACCTGTTGGGGTTATTAGTTTATCTTCGCGCTCATGTAGTGCATTTTTAATTATCCTTAAGTCACTTGCAGTTCCTTCCCAACCCGATAAAACATACATAAACTTCATGTCGAATGAGCATGCTGCTAAGACATTTTGTGTTGGATAGTCTTTTCTTCCTCGATATCTCGGTGCATCTATTTTAGACACTTTGACACAAATATGAGTTCCATTTATTGCTCATACACAATCCTGAAATTATTGGAAACACTTTTATAATTTTCATATGTAGATATAATAATGTGAATTAGTAGTTTAACGCTACGTTACCTTAAAATATGGATAGAATCTATTATTGTTGAGTATTTCTAGAGGGACGTCTGAACCACTTGGTTGTTGTAGAAAATTTTCTTCTAATGTTATTATTGCTCTTAACACATCATGGAAATGACAACTAATAGTATCACCGGATCGGCAAAAAAAAAAAATCGAATGGCACAGTTTTTCACATTATGTGCTAATATATAGAGAAACTTGGCCACTTGGTCCTCGACTAAAGCATTTTTTTTTCCCTTAAGGCGACCAGTGCCACGGATTATATGACACAACTTGGCAAATGCATGTGGCCCCATACGAATTATGTCACGATAATTTTCATTTGAACCAAGTTTATTCATTAGTTGTTCTCTTGCTCTTTGTTTGTCTTCATTGATGTCGTTGATAGGCCTATCTAAAAAATGTGAATGAAATATATCTCCCATCAAATAAAAAGCTAGCATAAACAACAAAACAAATTACTTGTACCACTGCCATTCGTCGTCGTTGTTCCCAAGTGATCAATTGCCCTATGCTATCCTCCCACCAATTTTCTTCGCCACACTCTTCCAAATTCTTCTCTTCATTCTCAACCCAATTATCATGTATTTTTTCTCCGAAATTATCGTGCCAATTATGTTCCTTGTCCATCTACCAAATAAATGTCATTTGTATCAAAATAATTAATGAAACAGTTATTCAAATCACATACAATTTTATAAAGGTAAAATGTTTAATTAATGTGTGTGTATATATATATATATATCTTTCTCCACAGTTATACAATTATTTGATATTTTTATTTATTTTTTGTGAGGGGGACATATTGTACAAAAGTAGAAGAGGGGTATACACATGTACAAACATGATAAATAATGAAAAACATGGAGTTAACAAAGCAAACTAAACTATAGTAAAGTAAACTATATACACACTTAACATGCACCACACATTTATAAGTAAGAACACCAAACATCCATAACTGAAACAATATAATACATATAATAATAAGTAAAATTATTCTATAGGCAAAAAAGAGGGTGTACTAAATAAAGAATATCCAAGATTTAACACTGGAACAAGTAGAACCCAAAGTCTTCTATTATCATATGCCCTAATAAATTCCTTTGATCATAGACTTTCATTTTATAAGATATTACAAGGGAATGGTTTGGTTCCCTTTATTTGGTTAAAGGGGAATCCTACATGTTCACAGGTGGTCTATCATTTCAATTGGTATTTTTTTAATATTTATTTATTCTTTTACTTGGTTCTATTTTACTCATATACCTAGCTAGGTGTGATAGCCAACCAACTCATTGAAAATTGACCCTATTACAAGTAGTGCCTACTTCGTACATATTCATTTTTGGATGCTCACTACAACATGAGATCTGAAAACTCAAAATTATTTGCACCACTAGTTGAAGTCGTACAATATATGACAATACTAGTGAAGTAACTACTATTTTTCGAACTAGGTGTGAACATGGAGTTTTTTTCGTTCTAAATATGTTCTAAAAAATGCATTATGGCATTGTATGGTTCTTTATGTAGACTTTGTATTTTTTCTTCTGAATCCTCTTTTTTACTAATAAGGCAATTATATAACAAACAATCTATATATATATATATAAGATGCAGATCTCGACCAAACAAGGATTACAGAGGTCAAGTTCAAGGCAAGCGTGGGGTACAAAAGGATGATAAAGGGGAATGTGTGTGTGTGTATATATAACACATGAATCAAACTTGTTTATAAATACTGTCGATTTATGTATATGTACAGATCAAGCAAGAATAAGAGAGAGTTTCTTACCTACGTGAGAGAGATCGCTCGAGAGAGCGTTTGATAAAGTTCAACATGAAGGTGACTTCTTCTTGATAAGGTTTTGCATGAGATGTGATGCGAAGGTTTAATTTTAATATTTGGGAAAGATTATATTGTAATTTAGTATTTTTCTAATAGTTCTGATTGTTTTCTCTCCTGTCTTCCGCCTAAATTTGGGGGGATGAAAATTTGAAAAGAATGAAGGATAAGCCATCCCTCCTATTATCCTTTCTCTTCTTGTCTCCTTCCTACCGAATGAAGGAATTTTGTTCCTTCCCTCCTATTTTCCTTCCACCTCTCTTTCTTCCTTCCTACCGAACAGACCCTAATCCATACATCCACAACGAAGGCATGAGATATATACGAAGTGATAACATAATCACACCAATACTCATATTATCTTCTATCGATACTAAACCCCTCTACTATTAAGTTTTATAATCGACACTCATACAAAATAAAGCAAGTTACACTACCATCATGCTACCCAACTTCATGCAAAAATAATTCACACCACCATTATAGGTGCATAAAATCTCGGACCGAACACTTATGTCCAGCCTAATGATCCTGATGCTCTCACACTCAAAATTTCATAATGAAAAACCAACCACCATAAGAAAAATTCAGAGATTAACTAAGAGAAGAGCACGACCGTCAAGAGTTTATCCTCATTTGGGTCTTTTACCCATATTTATATTGTACAGAGAGATCTTCTGGGAGCCTTTTTAAGACTTTCCCTTTGAAAAAATCAATCAATCCCTGATCTTTTGCAGTTTATTGTTCATGCGTTATCCACAACCATGTTAGTGAAGACTTCTGCATTGGGCCATTTGGGTCATGGGTCGCTTTTGGACCAATTCGATGTATGGGGCTTTCCTTGGACGTTTGGGTCAATCTTTTGAGCCGGGTTCTTGTTTTTTGGTATGGTTCTCTAGGCTTTCTTTGCATAGTTGTGCACACGTGGAGACTTATGATTGGAGGGAAAATTTCCCTCCACACTTTGAATTTAATTCCTTCTTTGAAACCGATTCATTGAAGGAATTCCAACTGCCTCTGGAAGTGAAGGGGATATTTTGGAGCCGTTACCTGATAAGTGCTGAATATTACATAATCGAGCCCTTGAACGTGCATATGTTAATGCCTTAGCGATGCCTTTATCTAGATTTTTATATTTGTTTTCGTTCAATTGTTATTTGTAGGGTTTTACCCAAAGAGATGGCCAATTCCATGTATTTAGAACTTATGGCAATGTTCCCGATACTTAAGGAGAGCTTGGGGCCTTCTAGGTCATTTTGGGACTCAATCGAGAAGATTTAATAAAGTTTCAGGTTCTAGGACTCGAGCAAAACTTTCTACGGCTCGAGCACTGCCTATTGCTCGAGCACAACCCTTTAGACGCTTCGAAAATTTTGGGATCAAAATTTAGCTAAGGGTGGAAGTAGGGCTCGAGCACTGAGACTTCATGCTCGAGTATGATACCCCCTAATTTCAGAGATATGGGTTGATCAAGTCCACACTCAGAAATCAGAGGATATCAAAACAATTAATATTTAACAAGCACAAATTACAAAAAGAAATAAAAAAGAATAAATAATACACTGAAGGAAATTCTGTTAAATAATAAATCCATTACAAATAATCCTTCAAAATTACAATTTCTCCATGCCTAGCATTATACATATAGTAATTTAACTGTACACCCACAACCATAATAAGTGTAACATCCTTTCTTTGAACTATATTCTCTAAGTTCCCAACATTAAACAAAAATAACAATTAATCTCTAGATTATGCATTATCCACACCTAGGAGTATGTATATTGTCATTTTTACCAATTTAAATAAAATGGCAACTCGTCCATGCCTTCAAGAGTATGGTTTTGGTCCATATTATATATTAGCAAATTGTCCATGCTTCAAGTGTATGTATTTTGTTCATACAATTAGATAGGCCATCTTTTTATGCATTGACATCTTAACCATGCCTTCAGTTAACCACCTACCAAAACCACTCAACCAAGTAGAGGCACAAGTGAGATTGCGTTTATTAGTCAACCCACATGGTTCCATGATCCATTACCGATATCATAAATTAATTTACAATAAATCGTACAATAGGCACACATGTAAAATATAAGCATGAATAAATTATGTAAGACAACCTACTATGATTTCCATTACCCATCATCATAAATTAATTCACATTAAATCATCCAATAGGCACACATGCAAAATATAAGTATGAATAAATTATGTAAGACAACCTACTATGATTTTCATCACGTACCATCATCATACTCATCAATATCATATCTATAAATGATATAACATCTAAGTGCAGCCAAAGATCATGTTCTGGATCAATTGTAATCATAATAATATTTATGCATTTAGTTTCACAACAAAAGATTTAATTAAAACTTATTAGTTAATTTCATCTTCTCCCTCGACCTCCGAATCACAAGAATATAATGAACTTTGAGGTATCTACATCTTATGACATTGTTTTCACGCCTAAGGACATTTTTTAGTGGTTCACTTTTCAATCAGTGTTATACTCAGTGCCAAATTGTTGAAGTTGATATTACGCGTGTTCAAAATTATATTTCTTTTCATATAGAAAAATTACTTAACAAAATAATGTGAAAAATCTCGTGAAAACTTCACATGTACAATATATTTGTCAAAAAATTGCATATGAATATAACATGTCTCTCCTCTCATGTGTGAGTCCCACATGTGAGTGTGTGCATGTTTGTGCATGTGAAATCGTGGGCCATTGTTTAAAGTTGGCAAATTCTAATAGGACTCATCACTTTCTTTAAAATAAAATATTAATTGGCCCACTTATCCTTCCTTCTATTTACTACACATAGTTTTAATAGAAAGTTTATCAAGTTGCGATCCATGTGGCAAATTCCATTAGAACTCGCCATATGCTCACTTTTTACTAGTAAATATCATATAGCTAATCTTCAACAATTTAACAATACAAGTTCCTCTATCAGAATATCGAAACACCAATCTAGTGTGATAAGTTCATTGGAACTCGTCACATATCACATTTTCATTAAGCTAAAAATAATGAAATAAACACCGTACTGTTAAGAATTAAATACTGAATTGAGATATCAATGAGCACAAAAACACTTGATCCAAAACAATGAAATAAGCAAAACAAAAACGTCCCCGTTTTGTCTTTCATGATACTTGTCCATTAATTTATTACTTTGGGTAGATATATAAAACAAAACCATGCATAATACCGACTCTCAAGTCTCAATATATATATATATATATATATATATATATATATATATGGATCTTCAATATTTTTACAAATTACTAATATTCCAATTCCCACCTCAAACGTTACATGTCAACAAGCTGTTGCTTTGCTTGTTTCAGTTTTATTGACTAATAATGGTATACTTTGTTTACGGAATAGGGTGGGGTACTTTAGCAGACGAGACAGTTTTCCCATCCTTCGTCAGGCGGAGAATCAACACCAGATCTGGCGTTGCTAAAATCATTTTCACCTGCTCGAATACCATGATCGTCTGCAAAACTCATCACAACAGCATGGATGAGAGAGAGTGAGATTGAGAGAGTGAGAGATAGAGAGAGAGAGTGAGATTGAGAGAGTGAGAGAGAGAGTGTGCTTACAGGAGTCGGCTAATTTTCGCGCAGACACTACCGATGAAATCATGATAATCCAAACCACAAAGATCCAAATTTTGCTCCACCATATGATAGAAAAAGAGGTCGAAGAAGCTTTGCTTGTCATTTTTATTTGTTTTTTGTACATGTCATGATTTGAACAATATTGTATGTCGTATATGGTACATTATTATTTTTTTTATTTCTGCAAGTGGGTGACACTGTTGTAAATCTGTAAAAAGTGGGTTTTACATCATTACTAACTGCTTTTTTCAAGGCTTTTATGGTACATTAGTGTGGATAAAAATATATATATATATTTAGTACAATAGTTAAGGTGAAGTGCGCTAATTTACCAATTTTAATCATGTGAAGATTTGAAAGATGCATTGGTGCGATGCGCACTTTTCTACTTTATCTATTTAAGATAAAACGAGTGCACTAATTAATTAATGTAAATCTTGTGAAGATTTAAAAGATGCATTAGTGCGTTGAGCACCATTTTACTTTACGATAAAACGTGGGCACAAGATGTAGAGAATCAATTTCAGCCCCTAAAAATGCATTAGTGCGTTAAGCATTAAACTGTAGAATTTGGAAAGGGGTGCTGCGCACAGCTCTACACGTTGTCTGTTTTGACCTAAAATATTTTTTTTTTTAAAATATATATTTTTTTAAGGTAAAATATTCTTTATTTTTACTTTGTCGTTATTTGATAAAGGTTTACGTTGAGGTTGAGGTCGAGTACATTTGGCGAAGCATATAAAATAATTTATCAAAAATTGATGGATAAGTTATTTTTGTTAATTTTTAATATTTTTTTTTTCGTAACACTAGAAAATAAAAAAATATTTTTTGAAAAATATTTTACGTCCAAACAAACAAAGCCTCAATATAGAGAACGAATTTCAATTTTGTAAAAACACCAAAGTTACATTAGTGCGCACATTTGAGGCAATGGCCAATGGGTATATGTTTTACTTCATCCCATTGAAAAATCTTCACAATATGGTGGCCCAGATATGTATTAAACTAAGAGCCTTTTCAACATTATTCTACCCACAAATTTTATTTATTTATTTATTTATTTTTTATCTCATGAGTGAGTGTGTTGAAACTTGAAAGATATAGGCAAAAGATAATGGACTAGTGGTGAAATAACACGTATATAAATAAGAGCTTCAAAGCAGCAATGTTACTCATCGAATTAACAAATAAACCATGGTGTCTCCAACCTTAGAGAAGGTCTCGTCATTTGTTTCTGTACTCGTGTTTACTATTTTGTTGTCTTCACCAAATTTAGCTTCCGTGTCTGTTCAAGAAGCTATTGCTCTCCTCAAATGGAAAGCTAGCCTTCAACACCAAAACAATTCTTTGCTAACTTCATGGATTTTTCCTTCTAATTTTTCTTCTTCAAGCCATCCAAAAACTAGTGCCATCCCATGCACTTGGTCTGGAATTTCTTGCAATATTGATGGAAGCGTGACAAGACTGAACCTCACGAATTCAAACGTAAACGGTACGTTCTATGATTTCCCATTCTTGCATCTTCATAATCTTACATATATTGATTTAAGCATGAATGATCTTTCCGGTACTATCCCACCTCAAATTGGTAAACTCTCAAAACTCATCTATCTTGATTTGTCCATGAATCAATTTTTGGGAATAATCCCACCACAAATCAGCTTGCTAACATATCTTCAGATTCTCCACCTCTTTCAGAATCAGTTAAATGGATCAATTCCTAAGGAAATAGGGCAGCTAAAGTCCCTTTATGAGCTTGCTTTGTCCACTAACAATCTTGATGGTCCCATTCCCACTGCTTTGGGAGGTTTAAGGAACTTGACTTATTTATATCTCTATGAAAACAAATTCTCTGGTTCCATTCCTTCATAAATGGGAAATCTCTTCAATCTTGTCAAGCTTGACATGGATACCAACCTTTTGACAGGTCCCATCCCTTCAACTTTCAAGAACTTGAATAAGCTAAGCAGGTTGCACCTATTCCAGAATCAACTCTCTCACTCCATTCCCCCAGAGATAGGAAACCTGAAATCTCTGGAGACACTGATCCTTTATACAAACAATCTTTCTGGCCCAATCCCGGCATCCTTGGGTAATCTTAGCTCCCTAACTCATCTACTTCTCTACGACAATCAACTCTCTGGTTCTATTCCTATAGAATTAGGGAAGTTGAAGTCTCTCCGTGCTCTAGAATTGAGTGAGAATCAACTCAGTGGTTCTATTCATGCATCAATATTTGGTAATATGAGCAACTTGGAGATTTTGTTCCTCCGTGACAACCAACTCTCTGGTCCCATTCCACAAGAAATTGGGAATCTGAATAACTTGTCCATACTAGTAATGGATGAAAATAAGTTTTCTGGATTTCTTCCTGAAAACATTTGCCAATGCCGAAAACTAAAACGTTTCACAGTAAACAATAACCAGCTTTCCGAAGATATCATCAAAAGCTTGAGAAACTGTTCCAGCTTAATCAGAGTACGTCTCGATGGAAACCACCTCACTGGAGACGTATCTAAAGTTTTCGGTCTATATCCAAATCTTCAATTCATGGATTTAAGTAACAACAATTTTTTTGGTGAAATCTCTTATAGATGGGGACAATGCCCACAATTGACTGACCTAAGGATGGCTAGGAACAATGTCACTGGACGAATACCACCCGAGTTTGGAAATATATCTCAACTTCAGGTACTTGATCTTTCTTCAAATCAATTATCTGGGGATATTCCAAAAGAACTAGAGAAGTTGAATTTGCTAAGGCTTAATTTGAAAGATAATCAACTAAGTGGTGGTATACCTAGAGAACTTGGATCACTAGATGATCTATTGTATCTTGACCTGTCCATAAACAGACTGAGTGGGTCAATATTGGGAAATTTGGAAACATGCTTGCAGTTGTATTACTTGAACTTGAGCTATAACAGTTTTAGCCAAAAAATCCCCCCTGAGATGTACAAGTTAGCTCATCTATCTGAGCTGGATTTGAGTCATAATTTTCTCACTGGAGAAATATCATGGAAAATTAAAAATTTGCAGAGTTTGGAGGAGCTTAATCTCTCCCATAATAATTTATCTGGTTTCCTTCCAAGGACTTTTGAAGAGACGCAAAGCTTGATATATGTCGACATATCCTACAATGCGTTTAGAGGTTCTATTCCCAAAAGCAAAGCCTTCAGAAATGCTAGCATAGAGGCCTTACAAGGGAACAACGGTTTGTGTGGCAATATTACAGGATTGGAACCTTGTAATAATGGAACTGTTCATTCTATGAAGGAAAGCCACAAACTCAATCTCGTTCTTATGATCGTATTACCTCTTGTGGGAGCAACTTTACTTCTTGGTGCATTTACTGGGCTTCTCATCATGTTTGATAGAAGGAAAGGTAAAGTGCCGATTGAACAAAATGATATGCATGCTGAAAATCTTTTTTCAATTTGCGATTTTGATGGAAGGGTGACGTATGATGAAATCTTAAAAGCCACCAACGATTTTGATGCGTCATATTGCATTGGAGAAGGAGGATATGGAACTGTTTACAAAGCAATGTTGGCCCCAGACAATATAGTGGCTGTGAAGAAACTTCGCCCACTATCTGAGACAGTAGACCGTAAAGGGTTTTTGAACGAGGTAAGGGCATTGACAGAAATACGTCATAGGAACATTGTAAAGCTTTATGGTTTCTGTTCACATGCTCGACACTCATTTTTTATTTATGAGTACCTTGAAAGGGGTAGCTTGGCGGCAATCTGAGTAGAGATGAAGAGGCTAAAAATTTGGATTGGCCTAAGAGGGTGAATATAATTAAGGGGGTGGCTCATGCTATATCTTACATGCACCATGATTGCTCACCACCAATTGTTCACAGGGACATATCAAGCAAAAATATTTTGTTGGACCCCAAGTACGAGGCACATGTTTCAGATTTTGGCACTGCTAAATTTCTAAATCTAGATTCCTCGAATTGGAGCACACTTGCAGGCACATATGGATATGTAGCACTAGGTAAAACTAGCTTTGTGTTGTAATAAATAATGTGACATATATAGTACTGCAAATAAATTATACAAGATCATATTTTACTTTTTCTTTGCAGAGCTTGCTTTCACGATGAAGGTAACTGAAAATTGCGATGTGTACAGCTTTGGAGTGTTGACACTGGAAGTTATCAAAGGAAATCATCCTAGCAATTTCACCACATCGCTATCATCTTCGTCTATGGATCAAAGAAAAATGCTGAAAGAAGAGTTGGATCAACGCGTTTTAGTTCCCTCAATAGAATTTGAAGATGTGTTGATCTCAATTATAAAGTTGGCAATTGAATGTTTAAATGTCAATCCACAATCTAGGCCGACCATGCAAAATGTGTCTCAGTTGTTGTCAAAATTAGCAATACCTTAATAGAACCATGTAGCTTAATTACACTCAATGTGGAAGTTTAGTTACTTATTGTAGCATGGATATTGTACTAAATAAAATCAAATGCTTGCTTAATATATTTTTGCATCCTTCGTAACTTTGTGTGTTGTTTTTCATCCTCGGTATCCATGCGAACTTAGTATCAATATATTGTCACCATATTTTTTCAACATTGTGCTCAATGTGCATATTTGGATGTTATTATTTTAACCATGTAGACACCCCATTTTTGCCTCTCCCCTATATAGATTTAATTAAAAGGAAACCATCACCTCTAAGTACCACCAAGGAAAATCCAGCAGTTCAATCAATAATCGGAAATCACCAAGACATCCAGAGTATCCTAAACCCTAGGAATCCATCTAAAGACACCACAAAGCAACTCTGGTGCCAGATCGCCAAAATCGACAGAAATGGAAAAAAAAAAAACTTTTATATTTATGTGATTTCTCACGATCAAACCATCGGATCTTAAATACTACTTTTCCATTGCACTGGGGAGGTCAAAGAAGCCCAAGACCCACCTTAGGGCACAAAAATCAATCACAATGCATTTTTCCTTATCTCAAAACATGACCAGCCAATCGGCCAATGAACTCAGAAGGTCCGAGATAATCAAAATTCACTACAATTATCGACCATTCTGTGCTCGGGATCAAAACCGAACCCAATGGCAAAATCATAATTAACTGTAACCATAATTCAATATAACCAGAAATTCGACCATTGGATTAGGGATCTAACTACACCATTCTTCTGGAATGCTCAAGCGACATGGAATTGACATATTGTTGGGTCCGTGATCGGGCATCATCAATAAATGTAATAAAATACTCCCGTTGTTCCAAAAAAAATTATCATTTTTTTCTTTTTGGTTTGTCCCAAAATAATTGTCCACTTTCTTTTTTCTAACATACTTTTCTACAAAAGTAAAAATGCATAACACATGGAAACCAAGTAAAATGAATGCATGCAAGGCTGGAATCAAATCCAAGTATGACCTGAAAGGTTACGCAAAATGAAAAAATGGTAAAAAACTGACGGAAAAAGAAAACTCGGAAAAAGAAATCAACGAAAAATGAAGTCAAATTTGAAGAATATTGCTTTCTATATATGTCCTTGTAACTTTCTTTCTTCTTCACAACTAAACTTCCTATTTTATAGGAATTTAGTTATTCAGTGTGACACCCCCAACATTTTCCATGCAAAAGTTGATCAGGCTTATACACGAAAAACGAGGGATATCAAAAACAATTGGCAATATACAAGCATGGAATACAAAATGATAATAATAAAAGAATTTAGACAGGAAAGGAACACTAAATAATACAACATCCATCCATCCTTTATTTAAATACAGTACTCCATTACAACTTGGAAATCCTATATCAAGGATCCCTAAATATAAACCTAAGAGTTCAACGTCAAAAGTAATTAAAAACTGAAACTGAAGTAATACATAAAACTTCTACCCTGAACTGGATCGTAAGAGTAGATGAGTTCGGATGGTGGTCCCACACTGCTAACCTCAACCTTGGAACGGGTACTGACCGTATCCTAAAATAACAACAATGGTGGGTCAACCCCACGAGCAAGTTCTCTCTACTATGACCCAAATCAGAGAATCAAATAAATTAATTATTATGAATCGGACGAGTACTATATCTGTATACATCCTAAGGGAACTATCCAATGTATAACATGACCTCAACCAGAATAGACGGTGATCACTTAGACTCACACTAGGTGGTTAAGTGTTGCCTTTCCCTACCCGGGAAATCAGCTATTATACATGGTGCACGGTACTGACAACACAGACTATAACGAACTACACAGTGATAACACCTCTCAAAGTACTGATGAATATACTGAGCATATAAATTAGGCAACACATGCCAATAATATTACTAAACATACTGAGCATGTCAATTAGGCAACACATGCCAATAATATTAAACCACATACCCCGACAGCCACACATCTGTCTATAGCAACGAATGCATAAGGTATAAATGAGTCTAAACTTATTAGCCAGCTCACATGGTTCTATATGACAACACATCCATATAATATAAATGTGACATAATTAAACAGTCCATTTATTTCCTGAAATGCACACAGCATAATAATCATGGTTTATATATGATTAACAGTATAAACATCCCATAATATAACATGGATAATTTATATGACGAAAACCCTGCCATTGTTTAATTTCAAAGCAATGATTAATACCATTTAATAACATAATAACACCATCTATATTTAACAATGTCGTTAAAGAAAACACATTAACATCCGTACTGTAAACGAGCAAATAAATGCTTAGAAAAGACTAATTGGCCATAAGAATAATTAACGGGTATTTAAAATAATAATTTCGTGGCCCGTTAAACCCGTAAATCCCAACAAAGTACCTAAAAATCCAAGTTTAAGGTTCTGGAATTTACAAAACAGGCCCTAGGGGTATTCTGGTAATTTCCAGCAGCTAAAAGGGCCCTTCACGCGCCCCTACGCGCCGCCCTAAGCTTCCCCACGCGCAGCCCAACCTTCCCCACTCTCCCACGCACTTGCACGCGCTTCCACGCGCGTCTGGAGAGTTCCACGCGCGCGCACGCGCTCCCACATGCGCGTTGAAGGCTCCTGCAGACGTGGCGGATCCTGATTCGTTAGTTGCATGGGCTTTGCTGCAGGCGCGCTACACCGGATCCATCTATCACCTTACACCTAATCCAATGGTTATTGATCCGGGTGTATCGCGCTAACATGGACCGCGATGCACCGGATCAATCTAACACTCCCAAGGCCCAGGATGTGCGCGCACACCAACCTGTAGTACGCCGCAACACACTGGATCACTCCGGTCATCTCCCCCATTGCCGGCGACCGGAAAACTCGCCGGAAGGTCGCCGGAAATTGCAGAAAAGCCCCGGAAAAATCTAGAAAATTCTAGAAAAATCCCTAAAGCCTTAAATAATTATTTTTAGCTAGATTTAATCGTATAGGGTAATAATTAAATATCTACCATCCTAAATAATTAAAATTTTATTAATTAAATAAACTAAAAATAATAATTTATTAATTCCTAACATGCTCTCAAGGCTCCATAATAATTTAAATAATTTAAACAATTAATTTATGGATTCAAAGGAGAAAAATAGATAAGAACTTGCCTTTTTGGATTTAAAATAAATCCGCCGGTTGTGCGTAGTCGGGTAAATTTTTCCTACACCGGTCCAAGCTCCTTTCTTTCTCTCTCTTCCTTTCCACACTTTTACAATGGCTCACTAGAATTTATAATTTGTTTCTAACTCCCTTTCTTTCCTTCTAAGGTAGGCTAGCTAATTTATATACAATTTATATAATATAAATATTACAAATATCTATTTTTGCATTTAATTAACCACATTCCCAACCATATGGCTTTAAGGCAAGCAAGCCAAGTCAAGCAAGATGTCCTAAGGTTCAACTATGGGAATGAAATCCTATCCTAAGATTTAATTTCTTCATCATTACATTGATTTAATACTATTATTATTATTATAATTATTATTATTATTAAACTATTACAATTATTATTATTATAAATATTATTATTATTATATTACAATTATTATTATTATAAATATTATTATTATTATATTATTATTATTATTATTATTATTCAGTACAAATTAAATACTTTAATTAAATAATAATAATTAATCTAAAACATAACCAATAAAAATTTCAAAACTAATCATTATACTATATAGAACATAAAAATCAATATTACATGCACAAATAAATAAAATTAATTAACTAATTTAACATATATAATTATAAGGTGAATAAATCTACACATTTAAAGAATTAACCTAACACAAAATTAATTCAAAATTAATTTAAATAAACTCTTTAAAATTACGGGGTATTACATTCAGTTTCATCCGAACTTAAGCTTTTTCCTTTTACGCTAGCAGCCAGTTTGAAATAGTCAAACATTAATTGCTAAAATTTAGCAACTTCCTTGTAAACTTGGCAGCTTTACCATTCAGATTCTATGAACCATACGTGTAATCATTATATTGATCTCTATGTTTCCTTTAATGACATGTAATAAAATACCATCAACATTTGCCTTTCTCTGGTTAGTACATGTCATCCCTAAGGTGGCTACCAAGTTTTGGTGCCAACAATATATATGTATATTTATATATTTATATATTGAAGCTAACCACGGAAAGAATTAAAGGATATGTAAATATGTAATGACCCGGACTTTTTCCTCCTTTTTTCATTTTTGGTGATTTTCTTTTTTTTTTTTGTCTTTTACTCGTTTATCATTTTTCCTGGCTTAACCTCACTTCGGGTGTTCGGATTTGATTCCGGTTTTGCATGCATTCATGATACTTGATTTTCATGACATTGGTATTTTCACTTTTGTTGAAAAGCATGCTAGTTGCTTTTATTTATCATTAAGGGCATGAATGCTTACTTTAGTGTAATTATACATAACTTTTGGGATTTTAGTGTAATTATGCAAAATTATTATTTTTCGTTTGAGGGACCTTTTTGCAATTTATTTTAGAAGATATTTTGAAAAAGGACCATTTTGCAATTTTTGGAAAGTGTAACAAGTGTCACACTCTCATGGAGCCATTTGTTGCCATTTAGGTGAAGAGACTTGGCACCGTGACCTCTTGACATTTGGTGGGTGGAGATTCATCCATGTGTTGGCCTTAGATTGGTGCACATATAACCATTGGATTGTTGACAAGTGTAAGCTTAGGATTAAGTCTTGGAAGAGGCATTGGATTGTTGACAAGTGTAAGCTTAGGATTAAGTCTTAGAAGAGGCATTGGATTAGTGACAAGTGTAAGGCCATGATCTAGTCTTGCATTGTGTGTGTGTGTGAGAGGTAGTGTAAGAGCACATAGTGAGTGGAGGATCTCTAGCCCTTCCACTCACCATTTTTTTCACTTATCCTCTTTATTTTCCTTAGTTCTTCAAAGTTCTAACCTAGCCACCATTGGAGAAAAGCTTGGTTAATAGCTTTCTTCTTCAATTTTGGTGCCCTTCCATTTATCTTAGACTAAGAACCTTAACTAGTAAAAGTTTCCTCTCATTCTCCTTTTCATTAATCCTAAGCTTGTTTTCCATTTTGTGCTTGGTAACTTGGATTATAGAGATACAATTCTCTATTGAGGTAGGGGTGGTAGTATGTTTATTTCCTAAGTGTTTTGAAATCCTTTGGGGTTTAATATATATTGTATACATGCTTTTAGAATTGTAGTATTGCATACTATAGGAAATCCTTATGATTGACTTAGGATTTCATTGATCAAGCATGTATGTTGTGTGTATATCTTGAGTAGGATTGTTGAAGTTGTATAGAATTCTTAATGATTTGAATTACTATGCTATTGTGATGGAAACCCTACATTCTAGTGTATTACTATTGATAATCATGGTTGTTTTAGAAGCTATTTGCTAAAATGCAAACATTTAGTATATATGGCTTATTGTTGAGGCATGCTTAAATTGATAAGTTAATGATATTATTTTGTGTATAATATCATGTTAAGAACTTGTCATCTATCATGTCATTCTAGACTTGGAATCCTAAGACATGGTTTGTATGGTTTCAAAGTACTTGTGCATGGAAGGTGGTTTATATGCCTTGTTATCTATATATAAGTTTTGAACTTGATATATATACTTTGGATTCTCTTGGGACATGGTTGCTAGTAACATGGCTAAAGTTTAGCTCTAGTGCGGGAGGTATGAGTTCTCCCCAATCGAGATAGTGCGCACTTAGGGTGGTCTTCCTTGCGGGTTAATGCCCGGAATAACCGTTGATGTCTCGGCAGAATTCCGAGATTAGGTGTCCAAGGATTCTACTTTTTTTGATTTCGCATTCATTTCCAAGTTGACAATCTATGCTATTTGTAACTTGTAAATTTTGTTATATGCGGTTTGATGTTGCTAAGTACATCCATTTTGATATTGTGTTGCTAATAAACATTTAAGTTAGCTTAAGATGATCCCTTAGAACATCTTGAACATAGACGTTAAGTGGAATGCTCCCTTGTATTCGTCTATATTAATCTTACAATGATATTGAAACTTTAGGGTATACGCATATGCTTCTCTTACGAGTAACTTGATTACTCACCCTAGTGGTTTGGGTTATTTTTCAGGTAAAGAGACCATTTTCTTGGATGCTCATCATCCTTAGAAGATTTTAAGTTATTTGAAGCCTTTTTGTATATTGACATGCACTTGTTTAGCATGCCTTCCTTTTTTAGATGTTAATTTTGTATCCCATGGATGTATGGTATTGTAAAAGCTAAAATGGCTTCCTTAATGTGTAATGTATATCTAAGAACACTTGAAGATGTCTATTTTGTATGCATAACATGAGGCCAAGTGCCATGTACATTTATATCACATGTATGCTAGTTTAATCCCATAGTTGTCTTATGAAATAATGAGAATTCGAGGTTTGACAGGTTGTATTTTGTATATGACATGTTATGTGACCATGAGCTATTGGAACACATGCATTTTCTCATTTTACATATGTGTGCATGTTCACTTTGGCACACAACACCATTCTTGAAGAAATGAACACTTAGACTAGCATTCATTTACATTTTTTTGTTAAATGAGACCTCAAGGGCATTTTTGGTATTTCACTTGAAAAATAAATGTTTGTCTTGACATGGTTGACCAGAAAACATGATTTTAAGGGGGGTTTACTTCACAACTTTTTTCCAAAAAAGTCCCAGAAAGTCCTCAAAATGGCATTTCAAGGTTGCATTTCAGGTGCAGCTATAGGAGTTCGAGCGCTCTAAATGGGAGTTCGAGCGCTCGAAGTTTGGGCAGAAAGTTTTGGCCTTGGGCAGGTACTATTTGAGCACTCAAAGTCCTAATTTCGAGCGCTCGAAGTACTGTTCACAGAGTGTTTTTGTGTCTTGGTTCAGCACTGCACCTCCAACTTCAAATTGTCATATCTTCCTCGTTTTAACTCCAAATTGGTCCGTTCTTCAGTCTAAATTGGCCACATCGAAATAAGCTTTCCAATGGTATCAATTATAGTTTCAGATTCCTTTGATAACTGAAGTTATTCAAGTTTTAGTGGAGGGGTGTCAGTTTTTGGCTCGAACCGGGATAGGGTTTTTCTTCGACTTTAAGATTTGATATATTTGCCGTCCGGACTCCGAATCAAGTGATTCTTGAGTCTAAATTCATTTATTTTTCATTTTCTTTCCAATGGTGTGCTTCGTAGTACACACTTTTAGGATGGAAATGACCATTTTACCCTTGGGTTCCTTTTGTCTATTTTTGAGATCTTGTTTCTGCATTTGTTTTCTTTGGGTTCCATGATCTCATTGAGGGTCTCTTTGGTGTCCTAGAAACATGTTGTGTCCCTAGGGATGTCGTTTCATCTTTTGCTTCCGCAATTTAGATCCGTTATCGGGTCATCTTTCTGTTCATCACTGACGCACCGGGTTGAAAAACCTTGGGCCGTCACAAGTGGTATCAGAGCTCCTAGGTTTGAACACCTTAGGACGACGGGTTTTGGGTGCATATCATGCTATTGTTGTTGTACTTTGATGCATTCACATGCTTTTGATAACATGTTTTGACTTTATAACGTGTTTAGATGTTTCGTGATAACATGCTTAGTAGTATGACATATCTTTTTGCTTATATGCCTATGTGGTTAAGAGTGCCTTTGTTTGACATGTATGCTTATCTGTTTAAGTGCTTAACTATTTAAAAAGCTTTTGTAAATTGCTTTAGCATGACAGTATGTTGCATACCTAGTTTTGTTTCTTGCTTCATTGCATTCATAGTATGAGTTGCATTTAGTCATAATAACTTGTGTTATTGTTGGCTTCCTTTCTTTTACACGTTTAGAATCATGGTTGTCACGCGTGGAGTATCTTCGCGTCAGGGCATTGAGGAACAGGTGGCTGACACCAAGTTCACGAGGGGTCCGGGGAGGCCCAGGATTCCAGTTCGTAGCGCGGATGCTAATCCGCCGCAGGCACCAACTTACGAGGAGCGAGTGGCTCAGGGTATCACACAAGGAATTGCTGAATCCCTACAGGAGATGATACTCAAACAGGTGGCAGGGATACAGATTCCAGCACCGGCACCGGCACCGATTGTCAATGAGGCGCTAGAGTACTTTATGTGACTTCAGAGGGTCAAAATTGATCCATTTGCAGGGAGTTCAGATCTGCTAGTCTCAGAAGCTTGGTTGGACCTTATGGTTCGCAAGTTAGACAGTATGGTGGTACCCACAGATAGGTTGAGGATTTCTTTAACTGCTTCTTTATTCATGGGGGATGCAGATATCTGGTGGAGGTCTATGACCAATGTCTACAATGTTGAGTTGATGACTTGGAATGAGTTCAGGGATTTGTTCTTCGAGCGCTTCTTTCCTAGGGCTATGAGGCGAGAGATGAGGACACAATTCGCAGGTCTTTATCAGGGCACTATGAGTGTCATTGAGTATGAGACACGATTTACTTCTCTCTCTTGTTATACCGAGAATATGGTAGCAACAGATGAGGCCAGGGCAATGAAGTTTCAGGATGGGCTACATCTTGACATTAGGCCACGGGTCTCTATTCTTGATTTGAGGACCTACAGGGAGGTGGTTCAGAGGGCTATGCTAGCTGAAGCAGAGGAACGGGATCAGTTACGGATCAGGATTTCACGCAAGCAGCCTCGTGGAGATAATCCATCATCTTCCGGGAGTCAATGGAAGAAGGCTAAGGCGGGGAACAGTACTCACTTACGGAGGGCATCACAGCAGAATCATTCTGCACCCACAGTTCCTGTATCTTCGGGGTCAACCCAGGGAGTGGTTTGTTACCATTGTCAGCAACCGGGGTACATGAAGCCTCGTTGCCTACGGCTTCGGGCACAGGCCAGTCAGACTTCAATTTCTACAAAGATAGGGTAGGGAGCTTGCTTCTATTGCAAGCGGCCAAGTCATCTCAGGAAGGATTGTCCAAAGTTGTCGAATAAGTCACGTGGTGGCACAGATTCACAGACGGTGCCGGCACAGTCTGCAGTAGTTCAGTCTGGTTTCAGAGTTCCTGAGGCACCACAGCCAGTAGCACCAGTTGGCACTTATCCAGCCAGAGGTTCTACACCTACTGCTTCTACATATCAGCCAGGCTATCAGGGCAGTTCACAACAGGGCTCAGGGACTCAGGGACGAGCCTATGCTCTTCCACAGGCGGATGCTTCCGCAGGCACCTCTTCAGTTCGAGGTATCTTTCCAGTTTTTAGTTCTTGGGCACGAGTTCTTGTTAATACGGGTGCATCACATTCTTTCATTTCTGCATCATTTGCACATTCATTGGGTCTGGAGGTCACACTTCGGGATAGTTTTCTCTGTGTTGACACACCAGTAGGGGGTCCAGTGTCTTAAAATCGTGTTTGTCGAGGTTGTACTATTGAGATAGCTGGACGAACTTTGGAGTTCGATTTTGTTATTCTTGACATGACGGGTTTTGACGTCATTCTTGGGATAGATCGGTTGTCATTCTTCCGGGCTACGATCGATTGCTTCCGCGGGAGGTTGTCTGTTTGCACTCCCAAGGGAGATTGTTTCCATTTTGTGGGAGATCAGAGCGATTCCCACCCGGCAATGGTTTTCAGCATTGGTGACTGGAGTCGCCACAGATCCTACTTGGCTAGTTTACTAGTTAACGAGGATAGCAGTTTAGGCCGTGTTCTTCCGGCAGTTGTTGAGGAGTTTGTTAATGTCTTTCCAGAGGAACTGACAGAGTTACCTCCTTTAAGGGAAGTGGTTTTTGCCATTAATGTCATTCCCGGTACGGCACCCATCTCTATGGCACCGTACCGTATGGCACCGGCAGAACTTGATGAACTGAAGGGTCAGTTGGATGATTTGAAAGCTAAGGGCTTTATTCGTCCTAGTGCTTCACCATGGGGAGCACCAGTTCTTTTTGCGAAGAAGAAGGATGGGTCTTTGAGACTTTGCATCGATTATCGCAAGTTGAATCAAGCTACGATCAGGAACAGGTATCCTTTGCCTAGGATCGATGACTTGTTTTATCAGTTGAAGGGAGCGACATGCTTTTCGAAGATTGATTTGAGGTCGGGCTACTATCAGTTAAGGGTTAAGGATGAGGATATATCCAAGACTGCTTTTCGTACACGGTATGGCCATTATGAGTTTCTGGTGATGCCATTTGGTTTGACCAATGCTCCAGCAACTTTCATGGACTTAATGAACCGTGTATTCAGTGACCATCTTGATAAGTTTGTGGTGGTGTTCGTTGATGACATTCTCGTGTACTCAGCTTCAAGGGAAGAGCATGAGTATCACTTGAGAGTAGTTTTGCAGATCCTTAGGGATAACCAATTGTATGCCAAGTTCGAGAAATGCAAATTTTGGCTACCGGAGGTGAAGTTTCTTGGACACGTCGTGTCAGGGGGCGGTGTTGCTGTGGATCCGTCAAAGATTGAGTCTGTAATGGATTGGGAGCGGCCGAAGACAGTGTTTGAGATTCGGAGCTTTCTTAGCCTAGCCGGCTATTACAGGAGATTTGTTCAGGATTTCTCTCGTCTAGCAGCACCAATGACTCGACTTACTCGCAAGGGAGTCAAGTTCATATGGAATGAGGCTTGTGATTTTGCTTTTCAGGAGTTGAAGGTCAGGTTGACATCAGCTCCAGTTTTGATCATACCTGAACGTGGTTTGGGTTATGTGATCTATTGTGATGCTTCACGGGAAGGTTTGGGTTGTGTTCTGATGCAAACTGAATGGGTGGTAGCTTATAGGTCTCGACAGTTGAAGACTCACAAGTTGAACTATCCGACACATGATTTGGAGTTGGCAGCAGTTATCTTTGCCCTTAAGGGGTGGAGACACTATTTGTATGGGGAGAAGTTCGAAGTTTTCTCCGATCACAAGAGTCTCAAATATCTCTTCTCTCAGAAGGATTTGAATTTGAGACAGCGCAGATGGGTTGAGTTCATGGAGGACTATGATTTTGTGTTGCAGTATCATCCGGGGAAAGCCAATATGGTGGTTGATGCATTGAGTAGGAAGTCGCGAGGTACTCTTGCTAGCATTTCCATTCACAAATGGAAGATGTTAAAAGAGCTTGCAGATCTTGGTTTGCAATTGTATGAGGATGTTTCACCGGCTATTTTATTTAGCCTTGTGGCTCAACCGGCTCTTGTTAGCAGAGTTATTGAGGCACAGCAGGAGGATGGGGAGATGAAGTCCATCCACGATCAGATTTCAGGCGACGGGAATGTAGAGGGTTGGACCTTGCATTCAGACAGTGGTCTCAAGTACAGGGGGAGGATGTTTGTCCCTTTGTCTTGTCGTGATGATGTTCTTCGGGATTTTCACCATTCTCGACTCGCAGTTCATCCAGGTGGTACGAAGATGTATCACAATTTGTGGAGACAGTTTTGGTCGAAGGGTATGAAAGGGGATGTTTCTCAGTTCGTGGCTAAATACCTTACTTGTCAGCTAGTGAAGGCGGAGCATCAGAGACCGGCAGGTTTGTTGCAACCACTACCAGTGGCAGAGTGGAAGTGGGAGCACATCACTATGGATTTCGTGACGGGACTTCCGAGATCCAAGGCAGGGAATGATGCCGTTTGGGTCATTGTTGATAGATTGACTAAGACGGCTCACTTTCTGTCTATAGCAGTGACGGACGATGCAGAGAGACTTAGTGGACTGTATGTGGGGCAGATTGTCAAGCTTCACGGGGTTCCAGTATCCATTGTTTCGGATAGGGATCCCAGGTTCACGTCTCACTTTTGGCATAGTTTTCAAGAGGCTCTTGACACAGGGCTTCACTTTAGCACGGCATTCTATCCTCAGACTGATGGTCAGTCAGAGCGTACCATTCAGATATTAGAGGATATGCTACGGGCTTGCATTTTGGATTTTGGGGGTAATTGGGAAGACTATTTACCCTTAGTTGAGTTTGCCTACAACAACAGTTACCAGACCAGTATTGGCATGGCACCTTTTGAGGCGTTGTATGGCAGACCTTGTAGATCTCCAGTTTGTTGGACCGAGGTAGGTGATACAGTCGCCTTGGGTCCTGACATTGTCATTGAGACAACAGAGAAGATTAAGTTGATTCGGCAGCGGTTGGCTACAGCTCAGAGCAGACAGAAGAGTTATGCTGATAAGAGGAGGATATCCTTGTCTTTTGAGGTAAGGGACCACGTCTTTCTTAAGATTTCTCCACGGAAGGGACTTCTAAGATTTCGACAAATGGGCAAGTTGTCTCCTAAGTTCATAGGACCATTTCAGATTTTGGAGCGCGTTGGTGAAGTTGCTTATCGTTTGGCATTACCGCCAGACTTGGATAGAGTTCATGACATCTTTCATGTATCTATGTTGAGGAAGTATGAGCCGGATCCATCGCATGTTTTACGGTGGACTGATGTTGTTATTGATGAGGATGTGACCTACGAGGAGGGTCCAGTCCAGATTCTTGATTCACGGGAGCAGGTTTTGAGAACCAACACCATCCCATTGGTTAACGTTTTGTGGAGACATCACGGTGTTGAGGAGGCTACCTGGGAGCTCGGGCAGGAGGTACGCTCTCGGTATCCCCATTTGTTCTCTCTTTCAGGTACGGCTCGATTTCGGGGACGAAATCCATTTAAGGAGGGTAGGTTGTAATGACACGAACTTTTTCCTCCTTTTTCATTTTTGGTGATTTTCTTTTTTTTTGTCTTTTACTCGTTTATCATTTTTCCTCGCTTAACCTCACTTCGGGTGTTTGGATTTGATTCCGGTTTTGCATGTATTCATGATACTTGATTTTCATGACATTGGTATTTTCACTTTTGTTGAAAAGCATGCTAGTTGCTTTTATTTATCATTAAGGGTATGAATGCTTACTTTAGTGTAATTATACATAACTTTTGGGATTTTAGTGTAATTATGCAAAATTATTATTTTTCGTTTGAGGGACCTTTTTGCAATTTATTTTAGAAGATATTTTAAAAAAGGACCATTTTGCAATTTTTGGAAAGTGTAACAAGTGTCACACTCTCATGGAGCCATTTGTTGGCATTTAGGTGAAGAGACTTGGCACCGTGACCTCTTGACATTTGGTGGGTGGAGATTCATCCATGTGTTGGCCTTAGATTGGTGCACATATAACCATTGGATTATTGACAAGTGTAAACTTAGGATTAAGTCTTGGAAGAGGCATTGGATTGTTGACAAGTGTAAGCTTAGGATTAAGTCTTGGAAGAGGCATTGGATTAGTGACAAGTGTAAGGCCATGATCTAGTCTTGCATTGTGTGTGTGTGTGAGAGGTAGTGTAAGAGCACATAGTGAGTGGAGGATCTCTAGCCCTTCCACTCACCATTTTTTTCACTTATCCTCTTTATTTTCCTTAGTTCTTCAAAGTTCTAACCTAGCCACCATTGGAGAAAAGCTTGGTTAATAGCTTTCTTCTTCAATTTTGGTGCCCTTCCATTTATCTTAGACTAAGAACCTTAACTAGTAAAAGTTTCCTCTCATTCTCCTCTTCATTAACCCTAAGCCTGTTTTCCAATTTGTGCTTGGTAGCTTGGATTATAGAGATACAATTCTCTATTGAGGTAGGGGTGGTAGTATGTTTATTTTCTAAGTGTTTTGAAATCCTTTGGGGTTTAATATATATTGTATATATGCTTTTAGAATTGTAGTATTGCATACTATAGGAAATCCTTATGATTGACTCAGGATTTCATTGATCAAGCATGTATGTTGTGTATATATCTTGAGTACGATTGTTGAAGTTGTATAGAATTCTTAATGATTTGAATTACTATGCTATTGTGATGGAAATCCTACATTCTAGTGTATTACTATTAATAATCATGGTTGTTTTAGAAGCTATTTGCTAAAATGCAAACATTTAGTATATATGGCTTATTGTTGAGGCATGTTTAAATTGATAAGTTAATGATATTGTTTTGTGCATAATATCATGTTAAGAACTTGTCATCTATCATGTCATTCTAGACTTGGAACCCGAAGACATGGTTTGTATGGTTTCAAAGTACTTGTGCATGGAAGGTGGTTTATATGCCTTGTTATCTATATACAAGTTTTGGACTTGATATATATACTTTGGATTCTCTTGGGACATGGTTACTAGTAACATGACTAGAGTTTGGCTCTAGTACAGGAGGTATGAGTTCTCCCCAATCGAGATAGTGCGCACTTAGGGTGGTCTTCCCTGCAGGTTAATGCCCGGAATAACCGTTGATGTCTCGGCAGAATTCCGAGCTTAGGTGTCCAAGGATTCTACTTTTTTTGATTTCACATTCATTTCCAAGTTGACAATCTATGCTATTTGTAACTTGTAAATTTTGTTATATGCGGTTTGATGTTGCTAAGTACATCCATTTTGATATTGTGTTGCTAATAAACATTTAAGTTAGCTTAAGATGATCCCTTAGAACACCTTAAACATAGACGTTAAGTGGAATGCTCCCTTATATTCGTCTATATTAATCTTACAATGATATTGAAACTTTAGGGTATACGCATATGCTTCTCCTACGAGTAACTTGATTACTCACCCTAGTGGTTTGGGTTATTTTTCAGGTAAAGAGACCATGTTCTTGGATGCTCATCATCCTTAGAAGATTTTGAGTTATTTGAAGCCTTTTTGTATATTGACATGCACTTGTTTAGCATGCCTTCCTTTTTTGGATGTTAATTTTGTATACCATGGATGTATGGTATTGTAAAAGCTAAAATGGCTTCCTTGATGTGTAATGTATATCTAAGAACACTTGAAGATGTCTATTTTGTATGCATAACATGAGGCCAAGTGCCATGTACACTTATATCACATGTATGCTAGTTTAATCCCATAGTTGTCTTATGAAATGATGAGAATTCGAGGTTTGACAGGTTGTATTTTGTATATGACATGTTATGTGACCATGAGCTATTGGAACACATGTATTTTCTCATTTTACATATGTGTGCATGTTCACTTTGGCACACAACACCATTCTTGAAGAAATGAACACTTAGAGTAGCATTCATTTACATTTTTTTGCTAAATGAGACCTCAAGGGCATTTTTGGTATTTCACTTGAAAAATAAATGTTGGTCTTGACATGGTTGACTAGAAAACATGATTTTAAGGGGTGTTACTTCACAACTTTTTTCCAAAAAAGTCCCAAAAAGTCCTCAAAATGGCATTTCAAGGTTGCATTTTAGGTGCAGCTACAGGAGTTCGAGCGCTCTAAATGGGAGTTCAAGCGCTCGAAGTTTGGGCAGAAAGTTTTGGCCTCGGGCAGGTACTGTTCGAGTGCTCAAAGTCCTAAGTTCGAGCGCTCGAAGTACTATTCACAGAGTGTTTTTGTGTCTTGGTTCAGCACTGCACCTCCAACTTCAAATTGTCATATCTTCCTCATTTTAACTCCAAATTGGTCCGTTCTTCAGTCTAAATTGACCACATCGAAATAAGCTTTCCAATGGTACCAATTAGAGTTTCATATTCCTTTGGTAACTCAAGTTATTCAAGTTTTAGTGGAGGGGTGTCAGTTTTTGGCTCGAACCGGGATAGGGTTTTTCCTCCTTCGACTTTAAGTTTTGATATCTTTGCCGTCCGGACTCCGAATCAAGTGATTCTTGAGTCTAAGTTCATTTATTTTTCGTTGTCTTTCCAACGGTGTGCTTCGTAGTACTCACTTTTAGGATGGAAATGACCATTTTACCCTTGGGTTCCTTTTGTCCATTTTTGAGATCTTGTTTCCGCATTTGTTTTCTTTGGGTTCCATGATCTCATTGAGGGTCTCTTTAGTGTCCTAGAAACATGTTGTGTCCCTAGGGATGTCGTTTCATCTTTTGCTTCCGCAATTCGAATCCGTTATCGGGTCATCTTTCTATTCATCACTGACGCACCGGGTTGAAAAACCTTGGGCCGTCACAAAATAATTCTTATGTGTTGGTTTGAAATTATAATTCCAATATTTATGATTGTGTCTGTTTCTCTTCGGCATAGTTAGGGCTTAGGATTATGAATGATTAATAAATAAAAAAATTAAGGCATTTATAAACCAAATTATTAGTCATTAACAATTGTCTATGCACGTGTAGAGAATGACTACTTTGATTGGAGTGATCTTTATACTTTTAGCCTCAGTTCTGAGAAAAAAAATCAAATGTTGCTTGCTGTAAAAACACTATTCCTGCCCAGATTTCTTACCCGGAAAATAAGTTGATTTTTTTGAAACTTTGAGGCTTCATATCTTCATCATTCGGACTCCAAATTAAGTGATTTTTGAGTTTAAGTTTATTAGTTTTTGCTTGTCTATCCAACGGTATGAACTGTTGCATCCAATTTTATCTAAAAAGACTATTTTACCCCTTGTAAAGTGCCCTTGCCGCACTGATTTTAAACTCAAAAGTTAGTTTTTTTGAAACTTTGACGTTTCATATCTTCTTCATCCGGACTCCGAATCAAGTGATTCTTGAGTCTAGATTCATTAATTTTTCCTAGTCTACCTATCAGTATGCTTAGTTGCATCCAATTGTATCTAAAAAGACTATTTTACCCCTTGTAAAGTGCCCTTGCCGCACTGATTTTAAACTCAAAAGTTAATTTTTTTGAAACTTTGACGTTTCATATCTTCTTCATCCGGACTCCGAATCAAGTGATTCTTGAGTCTAGATTCATTAATTCTTCCTAGTCTATCTATCGGTATGCTCAATTGCATCCAGTTTTATCTGAAAAGATCATTTTACCCCTTGTAAAGTACCCTTGCCGCATTGATTTCAAACCCAAAATTTTGATTTTATGAAACTTTGGAGTTTTATATCTTCTTCATCCGGACTTCGAATCAAGTGATTCTTGAGTCCATCTTGATTAGTTTTTCGTTGTCCTTCCAGTGGTGTGCTCGGTGGCACCCGAGTCCATAGTTTTCAGAAATGACTATTTTACCCCTAGGGGCTTATTTGTCATATTTTTTGTCTTTTGCTTCCACATCAGCTCTCATTGAGTTCCACGACCTCATGGAAGGTCACTTTGACTTCTTAGAGTCTTATTTTCTGTTTTCGCTTCCGCATTTCGGATCCATTATCGGATCAAACTACGGTTCATCAGAGGACGCACTGGCTTGAAAAACCAGGGCCGTCACAAAATCAGCCACCACAGGTCATGCTAGACAGAAGACAATTAGTTGGTTTACTTACCCAAGAGTACGGCCTGGAACTTAGAGGTGCCGGCCGACCAATCTATAGAACTCCATATCCAGAAGTGGTAAACCAAGTTGAGTTCCCTAGAGGATATATAGTCCCTGACTTTGTAACCTTTAGTGGAGAAGGGAATCAATCGACCGTGGAGCACATTGGCCGTTTCACAGTGCAATGTGGAGAGGCCAGTGTGAGCCCTTGGTTAAAATTAAGACTTTTTCCTAACTCTTTGACTGGGCAGCTTTTTCATGGTATATTCGTTTACCTTCTAACTCTGTTTTTAATTGGCCATAGATGGAGGAGTTATTTCACAATCAATTCTATCGTACTGAGACAGAACCAACTCTGGCCGATTTATCCAGGCTGAGCCAATTGCCTAGTGAATCGGTCGAGACATTCATTGCAAGATTCAGGAGGGCAAGATTGAGATGTTGTGTACCTCTTCCAGAACAGGAGTACATCTGTTTAGCTTTGAACGGCCTTGATTTTGAACTTCGGAAGAGGTTTGAAGGAGTCCCATTTCGTGACATGTATGACCTGGCCGAAAAAGGCACCAGGTATGAGTTGGTCCTCAAGGAGGAGAAAGAATGAAAAAATTCCTCTAAAGGTACATACTATAGGGATCCCAATTATGAAGTTTTTTCAACCGATGTGATTAAAGAGGAAGATCTTGATGCTAATTTGGCTGAAATTATAATTAAGAAGCCTTATGTATGTGAGGCTTTAACAAAACCAAAGGCATCTACCAGTGGTACTTAGCCATCAACTTCATCGGCCAGGAAGGGCACCGCCGATACTGGTAAGGTATTGCAAAAAGCCATTGACGAAGGAGTTTTGAAATTTTTTGAAAAGAAGGCAGAAGTGTGACGGCCCTGGTTTTTTAGGCCAGTGCGTCAGTGATGAACCGAAAGGATGATCCGATAACGGATCGGAAATGCGAAAGTAAAAACAAAAAGAACATGACTCTAAGAAGTCAAAGTGACCTTCCATGAGGTCGTGGAACTCAATGAGAACTAATGCGGAAGCAAAAGATCGAAAATATGACAAATAAGCCCCCAAGGGCAAAACAGTCATTTTACATGAAAATGACGTCCCTAGAATGTATATTATTTTTGAGACACATCCAAGACTTCTAGTGAAGTCACAGAACTCAAAAGAAAGTAGCGGAAGCGAAATTACAAGAAAACCGGACAAAAATAGCCCCAAGGGCAAAATGGTCATTTTTGAAAAATATAAAATTGGGTGCTACTGAGCACACCACTGGGAAGACAGCAAAAAATTAATCAAGTTGGACTCAAGAATCACTTGATTCGGAGTCCGGATGAAAGAGAAAAGTCAAAACAAAGTTTTGACTACGCCGCGGCCGTGAATAGTAACCTGGGCAAAATGCTGAAATCGTGTGCTGTTTTGAGGCACTAAACGACGTTTTCTTGAAAAACACGAAAAGAAACCCCCCCTTAAAATAATTTTTCCAGGCTGACCATGTCAAAAGAAAAATTTATTTTCGACGTGGAATCCCCAAAATGCCCTTACAACAGACTTTTCAAATAGTGTTGATGCGTACAGGAAATCATATTTGACACGGGGTTTTCGAGTCTGAGATGACATTTTCGAGAAAAATGTTGTGAAGAACCCCCCCCCCCCCCTAAAATCACTTTTTCTATGTGACCATATCAAGACCGGAATTCATTTTTCAAAAGAAATTTCCGAAATGCCCCTAGATCAATATAGGCCAAGAGGGTTAAAACAAAAAGCTGCTACATGATTTTTTTTTTTTTTTTTTAAATCTGCCAGAACAGAGAGCGAAACAGGCTAGTAGATGAATTTTTCTAGAAAAACACAAAGAAAAAACTCTCCTCAAAATTGAGTTTTCTATTTGACTCACCACAGAATTCAAAAAAAACTCACTGTAAAACACCCAAAATGCCCCTCCATGAAATCTGGTCATGAAGGCCAAAAAGCTGTTACAATTGAAAACAGAAAAGTGAACTTCCCAAGGGATTTCTGATACCAAGATGACATTTTCTAGAAAAATACAACGAAGAAACCCCCACTAAAATCACATTTTCTAAGCGACCATGTTGAAAGAAGAAAATAAAACTGATGTGAAAAGTCTAGAATACCCCTAGATCAGATTATGCAATAAAGTTTCAAAATGAATCCATATGAGGCTTATTTCACCAAAGAAGAAGGTTTGCCCGAAAACGACCATGCACGCAAATGTAAATTACCTATTAGGACGTGCTACAATGGTCCATGGCTTAAAAATACCACTAACGCAAAATTTGACCCCCCAATGGCCAAAAGGGCGAAAATGCACATAAAATGGAAAATTTGAAATTTAAAATTTACAAATGATTTCAAATTACCATTTGGACCTTGGTCACACTTCATGCATGATTAATAAGACCTAGTGGAGGTGCCGGGACACACTTTACACCACCCGATTTGAAAATGAACCCTTAAAGGCTCGGTTTCTACTATTTTAGCCCAAAAATGCAACATGTGAACTAAAATGCAAAAATGAAAAATAAATGGTGTTTGGTCCTTAGCCATACCTCATATATATTAAATAAATTCTAGGTAATGAATTTCATACATAAAGCACACTCCGGTGCAAAATAACATACTAAAACGCATGCTTTTTCACATATTTTCATTAAAGGCAAAATACAACCATTATGAATAAACATGAACTTCAAATGAAATTTGGCCCTTAGCCTTATATCATATATATAAAATGAGAATCAAAAAGTATGCTTAGGCACACATTACAAGTTTAGAATCAAATATACACACTTGACAAATAAGGCTACAAATGGTATTTCAAGCCAACCTTTACACGAATGGAACCTTCAAGTCCACAAATCATCCAAGCATGATGAGAATCTCAACCTTGATTCCTATACCTGAAATATGCCCCAGTAACTTTGGGGTGAGTAACATAAAGCTATTCGTAGGAAATGAGCATGCATCAACCTAACATTTTACATGTTTGCATAATTTAAACATCATGGTTCATTCCACCTAGCGTTTATATCAAAGGTGAGACTCAGGGAGCATCCTAAGCTGCCTAAGATCATTTCTAGCATAAAACACATCATTCATGCAATACAAACAACATAGGAGCATGCTATACAAAGCGACAAAATATAGATTCTCAAAGTCATCAACTTGAAATCTAAAATGTGTAAACAACTAAATATAACCATTTAGTATAAATTGGAGTTTCTAGTACCACACGTTAAGACATAGATCCTCAAAGTAATCAACTCGAAATCTAAAAGTGTGTAAACGACTAAAGTGGGTCATGTCACCTAACGTCTATGTTCCAAATGAATCTATATGATCATTCATAAATCACATTTGAACAATATAGCATAAATACGCTTAACAACATCAAAATTTATAATGATTCATCAAAAAACATAAAAACATGAATGTACTAAACAACATTAAAAGCATGCTATGATTCATTCAAAACCATAATGCGTAAATGTACTTAACAACATTAAATCGCTAATAACCAAAACCACAAGTCACAATTAAACATTGGTTGTCAACTTAGAATTGAATGCGAAAACAAATAGTGGAAGACTTAGACATCACGTCTCGAACTAAACCAAGAACAAAATGGTTATTCCGGGCATTAACCCGCTGGGAAGACCACCCTAGTGCGCACTATCTCAATGGGGAGAACTCATACCTCCCGCACTAGAGCCAAACTTTAGCTATATCATAGTAACAATGTCCCAAGACTCCAAATAAATAAGTTAACAACTTATATATGAAATATATATATATCAGCACGAAACTACATTCCATACACAAGTAGGTTGAAACCACACAATACATGCCCTAAATCCACATGTCGAATCTTCAGTATGCGATTCGAAACACGCTATAACAATATAATTCAATATTAAAACATAATCGCATAAGTCCATTACAAATCTAAAATCATGCTTCAAACATAATATCAATGTTAAACACATGATTTAATCAATAATACAATAGAAATGGAAATTAATTATATAACCTAATTAGTTTCTCTAAGTTTCATATCTCAATCAAATGAACCCTAATTAACACATGTTAAACAACATAACTTGTTCATTACATGAATCAAATCAAAAGTTTATTTAGAACATTGGATCAATAGGATAGAATTTAATTAAAACATGATAATTAAATCTCTAAATTCTAAAATAACATCAAATGGTCCCAAATTAACATATGCTAGTATACAAGCCCTAGTCATCACAAATATCAAGTTAAAAACTTAATTAGGCCAATGGAACCATTAAATGGATTTTAATTAATCTTTAGATTTTATACTTATCCAAATGCTCTCAAATTAAATTATGTTAAGGAATATGCCAAGACTTAATTTAAAAGCATATTATAAGTTCATTTCATGCAAGGTACGTCCATGATAATTAAACTTTCACAAAAGATAATTATTAAATAAAAAGTGAAATTCTTATTCAATTAATCCCAATTTAATATATGTTAACAAACATATCAAATCATAATTTATCATCATGCCAGAATTCAATTCTAAGCTATATACATCCTTGTTAATTAAATTTCATACAAAGAAATAAATATTACTAATTTTTTAAATTTGATACAAGGCATGCAAATAAGTTGTATAATCATGGGAAACACTCAATACAACACATATATAATCTTAAAACATCCCCTACCTCAATTTAAGATGAAAATCTCAAAAGCCACCAAAATGAAATGGCTCCGAATCCGACAATACTTCGGGATTTTGTCGGGGACAACGCCGTGAACATTAAACTCCAAAGAGGACCTACCAAAATCCTAACTTGACCTCAAACCTGAATTCAAAATTTGGTCATAAATGGGTTCTAAGGGGGAAAGAAGCGCGTAGTCAAGACAAACACAAAACGCAAAGGCACTATGACTTTCTAACAAAGGGAAGGAAGTTTAAATTAAAGGAGAAGGGTGGCAGCCCCCCTTGGACTGCCATGGCAGATTCAGGTCGTGCATGAAGAGAGGAGAAAGTGACTTTTTAATTTTATAACCCCCAATTTATAGAAAATCCCAAAAAGTGTCCCGGAAAAGCCCCGCCGGGTCCGGAAAAGTGAAATTTGAGCAGACGCGCTCAAACGGCAAAACTCCGTGAATGAAAAAGATTCAAATTGATAAAATATGAATAATGGAAGAAACGGCGTCAAAAATCAAGTTTCGAGCAAAGAGATATGCCTTAAACAAGTTCTGCGGCAACCGGGGCCAGAAACCCAGAAACTGAAGAAAATCGACCAAAAGGCAATTCTAAGAGTACACAACTCGACAAAAAGTGAAAATGAGTCTCGTACGAGGACCTAGGCTCAAAACGAGTTATTTTTGCAATAACTTTCATTAATTGCACAATGGCCCCTCTAAAAAGTGAAAACTGCGAAAATATCTTCCAAAAACATTTTCTTAAAAATCCCTAAAATAAAATATCTTCAAAAGATATTTATGAAAAATACCCCAAGAAAACAAAAAGATTCTGAAAAACTGTGCATCTATGCCCCTACGGACACCGAGAGCAGGCAGAGTACTTTCTTACAAAAGTAAAGATATGTATTTCGTGGAAACCACTTAGGATGAAGGTACGTGAAGTCGAAAACCAACTGCGACCATGAAAAGTGAGATTGTGCCAAAAAGTGACAAACGGGGAAAAGACAAAATAGGAAAAATGACGAAAAGTGAATAGTGTCGAAAAATGAAAAATGTGGGAATGACTCAGCCCTCAAAGGAAGTTGTCAATTCAAGGAAAAGAGTCTCAAAAATCATTCCAGAGCACTCGAGACTACACTAAGTGATGAAAAACTGAACTCAGAAAGGAAAAAAACAATGGAAAAAAAAATATCCGTGAAAATCTGAGAAAAGGAAAGGAAGAAAAATGACCGGGTCATTACAAGAAGTGATGAGGGTTGATGGTGATCCATTTCCTAATATTGTAAATACCAATGTAATCAGCCTGGCACTTGAAAAAGTCGCTAATAATGGTAAACAAAAAAGGGTGCCAAAAGTTCTTGATAGTTCATCATCAGCCAGCAACAATGAACAGAGGGTGAATGATTTAGAAAATTAGTTAGGGAAGCTCAAATTACCCTTATCAGCAATGGTTGTTGCCCAACTTGCAAAGGCCGTGGGAATAATCAAGATAAGAGGAGCTATTTTCAATCAACCAGGAAGTGCAGTGTTCATGAAAGGTTGGGTCATCAGCCAAGACAGAATCCCGAGGAAGTTAATTGACCAATATTCAGAGAGAATCGGCTAAGGGCAATAAAAATCATTCGATCAGAAAGATCTGTGACCGATAGAGTTCTACCAGAGGAACATTCCTATCCTAGTTTCAAAAGGAAACCAGTAATCCAATCAGAAATATGGGTTCAAAAGGGGAAGGAGTCTAGCCATATAAGAACGGTCAGACCTCCTTTGGTTGACTATGTCAGATGGACTCGAGTGAATCATCTGAAGTTTCCTAAACAACCTCCTACACATACTCAAAAAAGGAGGTTGCAAATGAAAATTGTAGAACTTAAAAGAAAAAAGGATAAAATTGACTAGGTTCCATTAGCCAAGGAGGATGAACCAAGGGAGGCTGAAGACATAGAGGTTGCTATATATTTTGGGAATGAGGCATCCTCTTACAAAGAGAAAGATAATCAGCTAGATCAAGATCCAAAGCATACGTCCAAGTACAGGATTCGTTTTGGTTCCCTTCCGGATGAGGTAAATAGTAATATGGTATTTGTTTTACCTTCTATGTTTGAAGCAAGGACGGAGCCAAAGATGAACAGGGATGTCACATCAACCGATCATAAGGACGAGGCTAAATCATCAAAAATCAAGAATGGTTCAAAGAGTTCATCGGCCGGGGTAGATTGGCCTCTCCGGGCCAACCAACTGAGGCTGATAAAATCATCTTTGAAAAACCACCTCTGGCCATGACACAACAGTTGAGGCCATTGTATGTTAAGGTTTGGGTTGAAGGACAGCCAATCAATAGGGTGTTGTTGACAATGGTTCGGTGGTAAATGTCATTCCAGCGACTACTTTGATGAAATTGGGCAAGACCATGGATGATGTGGTTCCAACCGACATGGCCATCAGCGATTTTAATGGAGGATCTAGTAATACCAAAGGTATTCTGCCTTTGGAAATTACTATTGGTGGCAAAACTTCCTTCACGGCCTTCTTTATCATTGACTCAACCACAGCCTATAATCTCTTTTTAGGCCGAGATTGGATTCACCCTAATATGTATATCCCATTAACATTGCATCAAATGTTGATTTTTAGAGATGACAATGAGGTAAAAATTGTTGACGCCGATAATAAACGTTTTATAGCCAAGGTATATTCGGCCGAGGCTACACTTTATGATGAAACTGTTGTACCTATCAAATTTGAAGGCATTAATAGGATGAGACGACCAGCAGTAGCAACAATGAAGAAAAACTTAGTTACTACTGATGTTGAAGAGCTATTAACAGAAGTAGTTCGGCCGAAAATTGATATTTTCAGGTCGAGCATCAAGGAAATTGAAGACGTTTTCGATGGATTACATAAATAAAGAAAAAAATAAGTGGCAAACTTTTAGGGCCGCTTGCATAAGACTGAAAGCATATCTTGCTGGAAATAGATTAGCTAGAGAAGAGCAATTATATGAAGAAGTAGCGGCCAGTACGGCTGATATAGTTAAAGAATGTTTTGAAAAACTGGATGCAATCCAACTTGAAGATTTGGAGTCAGCCCCTTTCAGGATAGAAGATAATAAGGCAGAGGTTCAGGATCCTTTATATGAAATTAATGTTGGTACTGAAGAAGATCATCGGCCATTGTTTGTTAGTACTTTGCTTGAGCGTAATTTTCAGTCCGATTTGATCAATTTATTAAAGGAATATAAGGATTGCTTTACTTAGAATTATGAAGAGATGCCTGGCTTATCACAAAAGCTGGTATAACACAGGTTGCCTATCATGTCACAGCCCAAGTTTTGTAAACTCGGTGCGTCAGTGATGACCAAAAGATGACCCGATAACGGATCCGAAATGCGGAAGCGAAAGGTGAAACAACGGTCTCTATAGATACAATGCGTCTCTAAGACACCAATGTGACCCTCAATGAGGTCATGGAACCCAAAGGAAAACAAATGCGGAAGTGTTGTTTCAAAAACGGACAAAAAGGAACCTAGGGGCAAAATGGTCATTTTGTAAAAAAGTGGATTCAAGTGCTATCGAGCACACCACTGGGAAGACAATGAAAAACTAATCATGATGGACTTAAGAATTTTATTATTCGGATTTTGGATGAAGGACAAATGATAAAACAAAGAAAAACGAGCAATAAAGCTAAAAGGGGTAAACTGGTAATTATCCAGAAATATCTGGGTGCAACCGAGCACACCGTTGGATAGAAAATGAAAAATTAATCAATTTGAAAAAAAGAAAATTCACTTGATTTGGAGTCCGGATGAGGGAGAAAGGTCAAAAACAAAATCGACGTCGCGGCGGCCCGATGAAGGCCGTGACAGCTACAGTGCCGTCAACCCACTACTGCTGCAACTAAAAGTAAAAACGGGCATCTAAACGGACTTTTCTGGAAAAACTCAAAGAAGAAACCCCCCCTAAAATCAAGTTTCCTACCCCGATAGCGGACGGAAACAAAAAAAAAATGTATTGTAAAATGCCCAGAATGCCCCCAAGAAAATCTGGTCAATGAAGTAAAAATTTCTCCGAGCTGCTGCCCAAAGAAAGGAAATAGGGCTTCGAGAGTTTTTTAAATTGCCTAAATTGAAAATGCAATCTTAAAATACACCCACAAGACCCTCGGAAGTTTTGGATCGGTCGTCACACTTTTCAAAAAAAAGTCGATGAATAGTACCAAGTACATTTGCACTAAAAATCTACAAAACCTGGCAGCAAGGATTTTTCGGACAAATATGGATTTTTGAGGGCCAAGATGGCATTTTCTGGAAAAACACGAAGAATAAACCCCCCTCAAAATTGAGTTTTCTACACGTTACATGAGGAAAAATGAAAAAAAAATGCATTGTGAAATACCCGAAATGCCCCTGGAACAGAATAGGGTAAAACTCCCTAAAAATGCTACTTAGAGTTTTTGTTTCATCAAGGATGGTGTTGTTTGCCAAAGTGAGTATGCAAGTGCATGCAATATGATAAAATAGATGTACCAACATGGCCTAAAGCCTCTTTACATTCTATTAACAAGTTTTAGCATACAAAGCTTCCATAGTTGATAAAAATACATTTTCAAGCAAAATATGGCACCAATTGAATACAAGTGCAAATATGAACTTGCTTGGCCCTTGGCCTCATGTCCTACATGTCAAATGCATTAAAAGGAGTGTACTTATGTACACTTTACATACGTAGAATCAAAGAATACAAGTTTGATACATAAAGCTACCAAACAATCCAAGGCAATGAAATCTTCAAGTCTTGAGTCCTGTACCTGAAATATGCCCCAGTATCGTAGGGGTGAGTAACATAAAGCTACTCGTAGGAGATGAGCATGCATTGACCTAGCATTTTACAGTTTTATCAATTTAGGGTGAAACATGTTAAAGGGGCTCATGCCACCTAACGTCTATGTCAAGTGAGACTCGGGGATCATCCTAAGCTACTTAGATCATTTCTAGCATAGTCACATTGTTCATACAATTCAAACAACATGGAAACATGTTATACAAAACAACTAGATATAGATTCTCAAAGTCTTCAACTTGAAATCTAAGATACGAAAACAATAAGAGTGGGTCAGGTCATCTAACGTCTATGTTCAAAGTGAATCTATAGGATCATTCCTAAACTACATTTGAACATCAAAACACAAATTATGATATCGATGCAATTTAACCAACATTGGAACTTCCAATACAATGCTTAAAGCATGATTTCTCAAAGTTAACGTCTTGCAACTTAAAATGGGAAATCAAACAAAGAACAACAAGTTACGATATCATCTAGTTATCAACTTGAAATGAAATACAAAATCAAACAAAGTGGATACTCAGACGTCACGCCGGATCTGACCGACAACATAGTTACTATAGGGTTACTAGCCCATAGGTAACCTCCCTATGTGTACACTAGACTATATAGAGGGACAATCCCCCGTACTAGAACCAAGTCCTAGCCGTAGTCAACAACGACATCCCCAAGTTTCCAAAATCAACAAATTGTACAATAACGTATATATATCAACATGTATATACAAGATATCAACCATTTACTAAGCACAACCCAATTTTGGAAACATATACAATACATGCTCAAAGTCTACAACTACTATGGCATGAAAGATGCCAAATACAAAATGTGCAATTCCTTACACATAGCAACAATATATTTAATAAGGAAAAACATATTCTCATGAATATAAAAGTAACAACTATGTTATCCAATACTCAAAAGTAATCAAGTGACCATACACCAAATCCAAATCCATGATTTAAATATAAAAACAACTTCCAAAATGCAATTAAATCCATGGAGTAATAAAATAGAATTTAATTAGACATAAATAGTTAAATTATCTAAATTCCAAGTTAATCCCAAATAACCTCAATTTAATCTATATTGAAGGACATGTCATGGTCATCACATATATAACATCAAATGACAATTTAAGTGACTAAAGCACTTAAAACAAAATTAATCAAGCTATTTAATTAATTTTCTCTAGATTTTTAAACAATTCCAAATGCCCTCAATTTAATCTATGTTAGAGAACATGCCAAGGCCTATTTAAATACCACATTACAACTTGATTTCATACTTGATATAACCATGTGAATTAAATTTTCACTAAAGATAAATATAAAATAAAAGTTGTAATTCTTAATCAAATGAGCCAAATTTAATATATGTTAACCAACATATCCAAGCATAATTTCTTAACATGTTACAATTCAATTCCAAGTCATACATATCCTTGAGCATTAAATCCTTTACAAAGAAATTAATTAAAATTAAATTCCAAGATTTATACAAAACATGCATACAAGTTGTATAAGCATATATAATCATCAATACAACACAAATATAATCCTAAGACACCCCCTACCTCAATTTGAGATGAAAATCTCAAAAACCATCAAAACGAAACGGCTCCGAATCCGACGAAACTCCTGGGTTTTGTCGGGAACAACACGATCTATATGAATCTCCAAGAAGCCCCATGAAAATCCAAACTTGGCCTAAATTCCAAACTCAAAATTTGGTCAGAAATGGTTTCTAATAAGGGGTAATGGTAGAGCACGACGAGGCGAGCAACAAATGCAAAGGCCGAAGGATTTTCACTTAGGAAAAATAGGTTAAAGGAGGAGAAAGAAGATGGCAGCTCCATGGGCATCCATGGCTACCTTTGGTCATGCAAGGAGAAAAGGAAGATTTTTCTTTTTTAAGGCACCTATTTATAGTAAATCACAAAAAGTGCCCCGAAAGGGCCCCGCCGGGTCCGGAAAAGTGAATTTTGAGTAAATGCGCTCAAACAGCAAAACTCTGTGAACAAAAAAGATTTAAAATGAGAAAATATGAATAACAGAAGAAACAGCGTCGAAAATTGAGTCCTGAGCAGAAAGTTATGCCCCGAACAAGTTCGGTAGCAACCGGGTCCAAAAACTCTGAAACTGGAGAAAAACGACCAGAATGGAATTCTATGAATTTACAAGTCAACAAAAAGTGAAAATGAATCCTATACGAGAATACAGGCTCCAGATGAGACATTTTGCAATAACTTTCGTTAATTGCACAATGGCCCCTACAAAAAGGGTTAACTGCGAAACTGCCCCAGAATGAAAATATCTTCCAAAAGATATTTTCTTAGATGCCCCTGAAGTAAAATATCTGCAAAAGATATTTATAAAAAACACCCCAAGAAATGAAATTAATTCCAAAGATTTATGCATCTATGCCCCTATAGGC